AGTTTTCCATCTGCTTGATTGAACGTCTGTCTGCCTCAGAACTAGAACTGGGGAGGAAGGCACAAGGCATAGACTTTAGGTTGCCACATGGTTCTGTACTGCTGGCTGGGTATTCACTACAGGCAGAGCTGGATTCTGAGTACTGCACAGGGTGACCCATGGCCTCTTCTAGTCAGGCTGCCACCTTGGCTTCGAAAGTGAGTAAAAGAGTTCAGAGTGGCTGTTAATAGTTTATCCAACCTTAACATTCTTCTGTGACCCCTGAGGTTGTTATCCCAAGACAAAGGGGAGAAAAGAGGAGTTGGGCAACACGGGGTGATTTCAATTTCTTTGCTTATATTTGGTTTCAAGCCTGGGCTTTGTGTCAGTACATTTGAGGTGGGTCCTAAGTAACCATTTTATGTCTCTATGTGTGATTTTGAGGGGCAAGCAGATGGAGAAGCCAACTTGTAGGTGACTGTGAGCACTAAGGTGTTCTGTGCCATAACTGACACAGCAAATTTTCTAGTAACGTGACTTAATATTGCTAGCCTTACCTGAAATTTTCAGCTAAGTATATCCATCTATGCAGAGAAACCAGCTGGTGCCTTTCAGCACAGATGAACAAGTCCCAGGGTTGAGGAATTGAAGGAAGATCCTATAATTCTTGTTGACTTTGCTTTGCTGGGAGTTGCCATTTCTTTCTTTTCCTTAGGAGAATTTTTTTTCCCTTGGTTGTGTCTTATCTGGTTCAACAACTCCAAAATTCCTTTTCAAAATAATACCTGGGGGTTGGAGGTATAGCCCAGGAGGCCCTGGCTTCAACCCCTAGCACCATAGAACATCAACAAAAGCCCAAACAAAATCTAAAATAATACATAGACGCTCATAGGAGTTAGACAGCTCTCTGCATTTGATCAGGAAATGTTTCATGTCTGTGTTTGGGAAATGCTTTGTCAGGATCCCACTGACACTGACTCTCAAATATTTTTCAGGAGATCATGGAATTGAGATAAGCTAAGTGACTTTGAGACACTGTCGCCCAACCCACTCTGTGGGTAGGCTTGTGAACATTCATACCTGGGACAGTTCTTAGACATACATACTGAGGGAAAGCCTTGGCCAACTAAGCTGGATCCTCTGGCAGTTTAGTCTTATTTACGTGGCCGTGCTCTCCTTAGACTAAGGCTCAAATGCTGACCCACATGGGTGGATGGCTGGGAGCTGAGAAACTGTGGCCTACTTTGAAATTGGAAGAAGTCTTCTGGGTCCCACCAGCTATTTCTTTCTTGTAGAAAAGATCCCAGTGGCTTTAAATTCTTTCCACCCGCATGCTGCCTCTTAGCATTACCTTGCCTTCCATACTTTTAAATGTGTCTACTTTTTCTTCTTGACTATGGCATATTATTCTCTTTACTGGTAGGAATAATCTAATCCTTTTGGAGGAGAGTGGCGTCTAAAGGTAGTATTAACATGATTAGTAACTAAGGTGGATGAAAAACGTTTCTTCGATTCTCACCTCTGAGCTTTCTTGCCTGAGCCCACTCTCTGTTCTCTTTGCCACAGACAAGCAACTTCATTGCCAATTATCGACTTTCCCCCTTCCAGAATTTTATTTTGGTGATTTGAACTGAAATAAAGCCTGCTGAAGAGCAAATGGACCCCTGCCTTGGAAGGGTGCTGACATGATCTTCTAGAAACCCACAGGTCTTTGCTAGGTACCTCCATATTCCATTTTGGGGCCCCACTCCCCAGATTTCCTCCAAAAGCAGTAGACAGGGCAGAGAATAAAGAAACACCTCCTGAAATACAAAGATACCCTCCTAGGTAGGCCCAGTGTTTGAGTCCCAGGCATCCTCATCATGGAGCAGTGAGACAGACTTGCCAAAGTGACTGATCCTGGCCCGGAGTTAGGGACCAGTGTGACACCAAGGTTTGGACTAGACAGAGCCAAGATTGGAGCTGGACAGAGCCTGGCCCACTTGTTGCTTAGGTGAGTCATCTTTCTAAAACATGGCAAAGGAAACAAATAGTTTTGTGCCCTGGAAGTCTCAGGGGCTGGGGTTGCAGGTAGCTCTCCCCACTGTCCAGGTGAGAGTGTGAGTATTTAAGCAGTTTGGCCAGCACCTGCCACTACGGACACCAGAACCAATCTATTAGCGGCTGAATTATGGGGAGGGCAGACACAGCAGGAGGCAGTTAAGGCTCAGAGCAACTCAGAGAAGTAGTCGGCTCCAACTTCAAGCACTAACAAGAAAAGAATTTCTGATCTGAAGTGCCTGAGGCTTCAAACACAGAGGCACAGATTGAAGTGATCTCAGTCTGGCTGTCTGAAAACTCTGACCAATGAACCAAACAAAATAGGCATGAGATTTTTCCAAGAAATAGTAATTCATGTTTCCTTCAATGTGTGGGGTTTGAGTCTCCAATAAGACACAGGAAAACTTTGTCCCTTTCTTGTCCCCAAACACAGGACTAAGTCCTACTAGTGGGTGAGTTTCACTTTCTATCCTTGGCCTATAGAGAAAGAGATTAAGAACCTGTGGTTGTCACAACAGATGTAAGACAACTGAGTTACAGAGGTGCCTTAAAAGTGACCATTCATTTGTTGACCAACAGACTCATCTCTTAATTAAAACTTGGAATCCAGTGGCTTTTATTCTGATAATAAGGACATGTTTTGAACTTTGCAGCATTTGGATGAGGTTGCCCAACAATTACCTGAAGGTCTGGGAGGGCTGTGGCTTTTCCCTAAAAGGCCCCATGATATTGAGAGCTGGCAGGAATCTAAGAGGAGGTTGGACACAGATATGGATTCAAGCTGAAAAATGAACTGCTGGGTGCAGGCTGGAGAAGAGCTGAAAAAGAAGTAGAAGGTCAGAGTCAGAATGGGGTAGAAGCAGGTGTCTGCACATGAGGTGATGCCCTAGACTGTCCCCTTTCCTCCTAAAGTGGTATTTCCTGGTGGTTGGTCATGCCATTTGATGTGGCAGATGCTCTCCCAAGGTGACAGCGGTGGCCAGTAGTGAGCATAGCTTCACTTTTTTCCCATAATATTTAATAGCAGTTCATTTGTTGTTTGTTTTCTTTTTGGTGGTACTGGGTTTTGAACTCAGGGCTCTACACTTGTTAGGCAGGTGTTCTATCACTTGAGCCACACCTCTAGCCCTTTTTTTCTCTAATTGTTTTGGAGATAGGGTCTTGCTTTTTGCCTGGATGGTGATCCTCTTATTTTATGCTTCCTGATGTAGCTGGGATGACAGGCATGTGCCACCACGCAGAACTATTGGTTGAAATGGGGGTCTTGTGAATTTTTTGTCTGGGCTGGCCTCAAACTGTAATCCTCCCAATCTCAACTTCCCAAGTAACTAGGATTACAGGTGTAAGCCACTGGCTTGGCTAGTTTCTTGTTTTCTTGACAAGAAACCCTGGGGTTTGAACTCAGGGCCTAGAGTGCTAGGCAGGCACTCTTACCACTTGAGTTAACTCTGTCAGTCCTAGACTAGTAATTCATGTCATTGGTGGTGTGGTTATGGAACTTTTCTGAAGCCAGGTGAGATGTGGAGTCATCAGCAGTGGGAGGCTGCCTGCCTGGTTTGTTCTGTCATCTCTGTGGGCACAGAGGTCAGAGATGGCTATCTTAAAGCACCATCGTATGGGTTCTAGGCAGCCTGGAGCACTTTGCTGTTTGTTCTCCACCCTGTCCTCTCATGCTCTAGGCCATTTGACCTGTCCCTCCAGCAGGAAAGGGACAGATGGTTTATTCTCTGATTTACAGATGGGGGCTGTGATGAGGGGAACACAGGAGCTTGACTTGAAGGCAGTTCCAGCGACTGAGCCTTCTGCTTTTGGCCCTCTGCCCTAAGCACCAGTCTCTTGCTGTGCTGGTCCCATTCCCACTCTCCCATGAAAGGAAAAGCTTCGAGCTGGGAGATCTTGCAGCCAGTGGACATCTCCTGACTTCCCTTTAGCAAAACGGGGTTGGAGAGAGGGGGACAAAGTCCCAGTTGCTGTTTTTCACACTTGTGGCATTTCAGTATTACTATTGCAGTGATCTGGCTCTAACTCTGATTAACCACAGACATGAAAAGAAACCTGAGGCTTTGAAGGCAGAGGCGATCTCAGCCTAACGAATTTAACAAAATATGGTATGAGGCTTTGCCAAGAAATAGTAATTCATGTTTCCTTGTATGTGTGGCTTTTGGGTCTCCAATGAGACCCTTTTCCTATGGCTCAGGACCTGCTCCTGCAGTGGGGTGACAGGAGGGGCAGGATGGGTAGAGACAGAAGACAGAAGCAGCCTTAGGAGGGAGAACCCTGGTTGGGGCACAGGAGTCATTTCTCCATCAGGGTCCCTACTTTGCTCTGACTAGAAACTTCCAGGTCTATAAAACTGCCTTTTTTATGCATTATCTACATATATCAGGCCAGCTCTGAGGCCTGGTTTCTCTTAATTGTTTGAGGTCTTCCTTGTCCTATAATATCTCACCTGACTCCCATCACTTTTTGGAAAGTCATTCCTCCAGGAAGCTATTCTTTCTTCCCACCTCATTCTTATTCCCCAAGCCCCTTTGTTGTACTGTCCCATATCACTCTATTCTTCCTTAGCGTAACACTCACCTCAGGTTGTTAGAAAATGGAATTATGTTCTCCCTGATTTGAGAAGCAACATATAGGTCTGTCTTGACCACAGATTAATCCTCAATGCCTAGAAGTTGATAGATTCTTCAGATATTTGAACGGAAATCTTATCTTTTTTTAAAGGTTTTTGGATTATACATCCAGACTTAATTTCTTTAGAGGAGGGGACAAAAAAGGATTTTATTGAAATTAAAGCATCTGTATCCAGTACCCATTTAAATAAATGGGTCTGAAACTCAAGTGAAAACGTCACCCTTGGGGAAATAGATTTGGAAATCATTAGCAAGTCATAACCCCCTCTCCCTAAGTTGCTACATTGCAGTGTGGAATCTTCGAAGGGGAAGAACAGAATTATAAGTGATGGAGGACAAGCTTCCCACTGCAGTTAGATTTTCTTTCTGGTGAATTTATCCATTTGTTTTTCACTCCAGAAATGGCCTCAGGCTTCAATCCCCGAGAATGCAGACTGTCCAAACAAGATGGGCAAACCTATGGCTTTTACTTGAGAATTGAGAAGGATACTGATGGCCACCTGATCCGGGTGATTGAGAAGGGTAGCCCAGCAGAGAAGGCTGGTCTCCTGGATGGTGACAGAGTTCTTAGGATCAATGGTGTCTTTGTTGATAAGGAAGAGCACATGCAGGTGAGCAAGACATTTGGGGTTTTCTAGGACCTCCTCAGTCTCCACATCTTCTCTGCCAATTATGATTTTGGGTATCAATGGAGCTTGGTTCCTTCCTGGATACCACTGGCAAGGGTTCATTATTATACTTTCTGTTGGCCAATCAAGTGCCCTACAGTAGTTGAGAACTATAAAAATTATATTTTAATAGTGTGAGGTATAACATGCATTGCCTGCTTTCTATATATTAGAAATTTTTTTGTTAATCTTGTTAAATCCTTTTCACAGCCTCATGAGTTTATATTACTGTCGCACAGAGAGAAAATTAAGCACAAGCAACTTATATATGGGAAGATCTGGACTCAGTCCCTTTCCACTATGCCATGCTGCCCCTCTAGACTAAAGGCATCTGCTGTGCTGTAAGGAAGCATTCATTTCTAGAAATGACCAGTCTTTGTAAGAGCTCCCAGATTCTGCCAATCCAAGGCCCCAGCCTAATCTCATCTGGACACTGGGGGTTGTTGGGGTGAAGGGCCATTTGCTTATGGCTTAGGAGCTGGGTCAGCTACTAGAGCCTCCAAAGTCAGATGGTGAGTTTCCCTCTTGTAGTTGATAGGTTACTACAATTACTTAAAAAAATTTTTCCCTTTTTTCCTAGGTGGTGGATCTGGTCAGAAAGAGTGGGAATTCAGTGAGTTTACTAGTTCTAGATGGGGATTCTTATGAGAAAGCCATAAAAACACAGGTAGACTTGAAAGAGTTGGGTCAAATCCAGAAGGAGTTGGATTTGAATGGTAAGAAAACTGACTCTGTGATGAATGGAGGAGTGGAGACTTGGACCCAGCCACGGATCTGCTACCTAGTGAAGGAGGGAAACAGCTATGGCTTCTCTCTGAAAACTGTCCAAGGTGAGTTTGAGGGTGAGGCTCAGACAGCAGTCGTCTAGAAAAAAAATGTTGTCATTGGTTAATGACCTTTCTTCTTTGACTTGCTTTTCAATTGCTAGACATCTCACATTGGCTTCTTTCCCCCTTTATCTTGGCTAGCACAGTTGTGCAATGAGGGACCAGGATGCCGGACAGTGGCAAGGCAGTTGGAACACTGGGCACTCTTGTCCCATTGTTTTTGTCAGGCTGATTCTTAGAGGTCAGAGATCTGGAAGGCTGATGTTTCCTTTAGTCTTTCCTACCTCCCTTGGGGCAAAGGTATAGGGGGAGCAAGATAAAGGAGGTTCGTCATAATAGCCTTTGAGTCAGACTGGTGTCTCCTTTCATCATTCAGATGATGGGCCACTTTATTTATTTAATAAATTCTTGAGCACTTATTGATATGTCAGACACAGTAACAGTTGCGGAGAACACTGCAAAAATCTTCATCTTCAAAGCAGTAGGGTGCTTGCTTTGCAAGCATGAAGGCCTGAGTACAAACCCCAGTCCTACCAAAAAAAAAAAAAAAAAAAAAAGAAAAGAAAAAGAAAAAAAGAGGTTAAAAATCTCCATCCTCCTATGAGATTTATAGTATCCCCATTTGTGGCTCAGCCTCACCTGTCCTAAAAATGTGTCCTCACCTCTAGCTGAGAGGGACCAGCTGAGAACCCCTGACCCTCAGAAACACTACAGATTTTGTTTCCATGATGTCAGAGGCACAGACTGACCTGTGCTCAGTTGACCAGAGTTCTGTAACGTTTTTCCCTGGTACACTGGTTGGAATCAGAGGGGCTATCATGGTTAGTTGATCCCATCTCTAAGGTTGCTCATGTCCATGTTCTTTCCGATCCTGGAGGCACAGGTGGTTGGCCATGACTCAGTGATAAAGGAGCAAATCAATGGTAAATTTAAAATTGTTCCAAGACTTATTTAACCTGTAGCAAGAAACATAAACCATGAATGATATTTCTAAGTTTTCCAGTTGCTAAATACAGTGGTACAGGTGGCCAAAGGAAGCTTAGCATTTCCATTATCAGTAAAATGGAAAAAAATCATAGTTCAGATTCTACTTATTTGGCTGTTGTTCTAATGCATGTGGTTCGTTAGCTTTATGAAGGAAATATTTCCTTCCAGACAAATATGTAACAAGATAACAGAAATGTTAAGTGTTTTAGGAAGCAGAGTTTAAGTAGCTCTTATTTCTTACAAGTAATTTACTAGTCACATAAAGTTACCCTTTGCCTAGATTGAAATATTGTATCTTGAAAGAATTACCAGCACTTTTTTAAGTAGCATCTAATTCACAAATGTATGGTGGTCTTCCTGTTCTCCTGTGCCTTTGACCTTGGTACCCTGATCAGTGAGATTTATTGACTCCACTGGCATGTGATGGTTGGCGATAGTACTAATTATAGAGGAGGGAACAGAACAGATACCTTCTTATTCTACAGATGTAAAGAAAGGAAATATGGCACAATGAGGCACATGGGCCTGGTTTGGTGCTTTTTGGTTCAAGAAGCCAATGCCACCTGAGATTCTATCCTTGTGGCCTCAGAAATTCTATTCAAATTGACAATGGCTGTGCCATGAACTTTAACTCTGATTCTAGACCAGAAGCTGAGGTCTTTTTGAATTGTCTCTAAAATTGGAAGTTTTAATTTTATATTCTTGGGAGAAAACCCTTTACTACTGGACTTGTACTTTTTCTGTGCAATGAAGCTCAACCTCCACTCTCTTTCAGGTAAAAAGGGAGTGTACATCACTGACATAACACCTCAGGGTGTGGCTATGAGAGCTGGTGTCTTGGCTGATGATCTCTTGGTTGAAGTGAATGGAGAGAATGTAGAGAATGCCAGCCATGAGGAAGTAGTTGAAAAGGTATACCTTCTGTCCTGTATTCACAGTGAACGTGACAAGAAGTGGGTGGTAGGGTCTGGACAGTTTACGATGGACTATCCAGCTGTGTTGCTACTTTGTATTAAGGGTGAGCAGAATCTAAGTATTAGTGTAGGGTTCTGGAACAGAGCCTTTGCTAGTTTCACAGCAGGAGGTCTAAGGATCTATTCACTTTATCTTTTGGATCTTACTTATATAGTAGTGTCCTTACCCTCCCCCCATCCACAGTTTCACTTATCTGTGGTCAACCAGTCTGAAGATACTACATGGAAAATTCCAGAAACACACAATTCACAAATTTTAAATGACTTTTACTAAAAATATATTATTACAATTATTTTATTACTTATTGTGGTTAATCACTTATTGTGCCTAACTTATAACTTTATCATATACATGTATTTATAAGAAAAACATAGTATATATAGGGTTCAGTCCTGTCTGCTATTTCCAGATGGTGACTGAATAATAGACAGGTAGCAGGTATAGGATACAAAGTATGAATGTGCTGGACAAAAGGATGGTTTATGTTCCAGGCAGGGTGGAGTATGACTGTACGAGATTTCATTCATCCCACTACTCCAAATGGTATGCAATATGAAACTTACGAATTATTTCTAAAGTTCTCCATTTAATATTTTCAGACCGTGGTTTACAATGGGTAATGAAACTGCAGACAGCAAAACTTGACAAGCGAGATTGCAGTATAGAGCCACCCATGCAGAATACTGGATAGTTCACGGCACACCGAGAATACACTGAGACTTTCCTCTGAAGTCACAGGAAAGCTTGAAAATCCACCAACCTTCTCTTCTCTTGGTAGAATGATCTTTCAAATTCCTGTTCTGACCTTTGCCATCATACCCTTCTGGGTTTTCTTTATTCTAGCTCTGTGTGGGTGAGGTCAACCATGACAAAGGGAAAAACAGCTACAGAAGTGGAGATCCCTGAACACCAATTAGGTTGCAGAAAATGGTGGAATAGGGGCTGTGCCTCTGCACAGTCACCGTAATCCCCAGCAGTGTTCATAGAGGTTGATGCTGCTCCTTATCTCCGTGTGTTGTTGCAGGTGAAGAAGTCAGGAAGCCACCTCACCTTCCTGCTTGTGGACAAAGAAACTGACAAGCGTCACAATGAACAGAAGATACAATTCAAGAGGGAAACAGCCAGTTTGAAACTACTGCCCCACCAGCCCCGAGTGGTGGAAATGACAAAGGGGAGCAATGGCTATGGTTTCTACCTTAGGGCAGGCCCAGAACAGAAAGGTGAGGTGATTAATGGGCAGAAAACCTGGCAGTATAATCAACCATTTCTGTACTCCAGTCTGACTCTGGAGTTCCACTGGGCCCCCAACTCCCCACCAGATAAATGAGGGGAACAACAAGCAAATAGGAATAGCTGAGTCACTTTCTATGTCACACAGGGGTCCTGATATTGGGAACCCAAAGTTTCCATAGCAGAATGGTAAGGCAGAATTTGGGATCAGAGCAGTGATATGTTGCTCTGATATCTGAAAAAAAGTTCTAATTTGAAGTATGTTGCTGATTTTTGTGGTGTAAATACTCCCACCATGTCTGATTTCAAGCTACTAACATGATGACTTTGAATACGAAGTGGGGCAGTATTGTACTAAATTGGCTCTCGTGAGCCTGTGCGAGCAGCTCTGAGTACTGCTACGGCAGACTCAGAGGTGCAGGTCAGGATCTGGGCTCAAATTGAACCAGGAGCCTTTCTGCTTCCTTGTAATTCAAAAGGAGAACTAAGGTCCTTCCAGGGAAGGTGAATACATAAAGGAAAGTGAGATCAAGCCATACAAACAAGAAGTTGCTATTTTCTTTTCATTATATGTTTACATTAATTCATCAACTATTAATTTGGCTCATATCATATAAAAGCATCCTTAGGCCTTTGAAGATATCAAATAAATCAGACAGGAATTCTTAAGTCAAGGAGCATGTTTTTTAGTGGAAGAGAAAAGATACATACAACCATGACTGAAGGTAGACAGTGACAAGATACCTTACTAGAAGGGTAGATAAGTACAGTGGGAATTAAAACTGTCTCACTAAAAACACATGTGTTGTACAAGAACCTAAGTTAGAAAGTAGGTTAGAAAGGAATGATTACAGAACATCAGTGCTAGGTTGAGGAGTTTGGACTTGGCTCTATAGTTGGTAGGGAATTATATTTTTTTGAAAAGTGTGAGGGAGAAAGAAAACAAACCTCCAATATCTTGGGGATTTTACACATCTGAATTACTCCTAAAAATTCTGCATGAGGGATTGCTGAAACTGGGGGCTTGGAGAAGATAAAGTAATTACTTAAGGATAAATGGCTAGATCAAACAGAGCTGTTTATTTCCAAAGTGCGTGCTCATTCATTTGCACTGGGACATGGCTGATGAGATACGCACATCAAGAGAGTGTGAAGGCAGACATACTGGAGGAGGGGAAGGGAGTGTAGTTAGTAAGGTGCTATAGAAGTTTACACAGAATTCTAGGCAGGACTTAACACAAACTGCACTCAGGATAGAACAGGACTAGAGAAATGTGTAAAACAGTAACGTAGCATTAAAGGATCTTGCAGTTGACTAGACAGGGGTGGATGCTAAGGATTGCCATGTGTTGGTGACTCAGGGAATAGTGCTCCATTAACAGGTAACCAACAGGAGGGACTTTGGGATGGGGAATGAGCAGAAATGATTTTTGGTTTGAATATTTTATACTTCGGGAGCTCTATCTTGTTGGAGGTACTCAGCAGCTAACTGGAAAAGTGAAACTGAAGCTTGTTAAAAATGGTGTGAGGGAAGGCTGGGTATGGTAGCTCATACCTGTAATCCCAGCTACTTAGGAGGTAGAGATAGGAGAATTGTGGTTTGAGGCCAGCCCTGACAAAAAAAAAGTTAGTGAGACCCTACCTCCAAAACAAGTCAGGTGTGGTGGTGCACACCTGTAACCACAGATATGTGGGAGGCTTATAGGTAGGAGGACCATCCAAAGCTGGCCTGGGCAAAAAAGTACAGGATATCTGAAAATAAAGTAGAAAGAAATGGAGATGCAGCTCAAGTGGTAGAGCACTTACTTAGCAAGCATAAGGCTTTGAATTGAAACTCCAGAAAAAAAATAGTGTAAGGGACAAAAGTGTGAGATCTGGAAGTATAGGTAAAGACTGATGAAGTCAGAAGATGTGCTCACGAATACGTCCCCAGTTGAATAAAAGTGCTGGCACGAGGTTCCAAAGGTCTGAAGTCTTTCCTTTTCTTCTTCACCTCCCCTACTTCCCCAACCTGCTTTTTTTGAAATTGTAGCCTAGGCTACAGTGGTCCTCCTGCATTGGCTTCCTAGTCTTGGGCTTACAGGTGTGTGCCACTATGTCCCATCCTTTTCTTTTCTGTGGTTAGCTTCTCTATAAGGTTATGGTCACAAGTACTCCCACTGACTTCCTGAGAACTTGCTGACCCTTAATGCTTAGTTTACTATTTTGTCATGAGTGAATGTCAGATGCTTTTTAGTAACAAGATCCTCAATCCTTTAAGACCTTTTAACTGTTAGTAGCTGGGTTTGTTCCTGGAGTGGGTTTTGAGTAGCAAATAGCCTAGTGCTCATAGGTGTCCTGGGATGAAGTGTGTGTGTGTGTATGCGGGTGTATGTGGTGAGGGGAGGGAGTAGTTGTAGCCAGCACACCCTTTATATCTATTTTATCAGGGCCTTGAACTCCAGCAGAAATCCCAGAGCTTACTTGTTTAGGGGCTATTCTGATTTTTCTTTTTGTGGGGGGAGGGTAGGTCAAATCATCAAGGACATAGATTCTGGAAGTCCAGCAGAGGTGGCTGGCTTGAAGAAAAATGACCTGCTAGTTGCTGTCAATGGCGAGTCTGTGGAAACCCTCGATCATGACAGTGTGGTGGAAATGATTAGAAAGGGTGGAGATCGGACTTCACTGTTGGTGGTAGACAAAGAGACGGATAACGTATATAGACTGGTAAGTAATACAAGGCCACAGATGCATGCAGTAAGGGTGGGGCCATTCACTCTTGCCTCAAAGTTTGGGCTGAGTTACTACTTTGTTCTTTAGACTGGAAGGGCTATCATGATCATCATTAATGTTGAATTGAGGCTCAAACTGATCCTGATAAGAGAATGCTAAGTGATTGATAAATGAGTTTTAAGTCCTTGAACTAAAGATATTTTCTTTTTTAATTTTTAAAATTATTCATATGTGCATACAATGTTTGGGTCATTTCTCCCCTCCTTCCCTCCGCTTCCTCCCTTACCCCCCCAACCCCTCACTACCAGGCAGAAACTATTTTGCCCTTACTCTAGTTTTGGTGAAGAGAGAGTATAAGCAATAATATGAAGGACCAAGGGTTTTTGCTAGTTGAGGTAAGGATAACTATACAGGGAGTTGACTTGCATTGCTTTCCTGTAAATGTGTGTTACCTTCTAAGTTAATTCTTCTCGAACTAACCTTTTCCTCTAGTTCCTGGTCCCCTTCTCCTATTGGCCTCAGTTGCTTTAAAGTATTTGCTTTAGTTTCTCTGCATTGAAGGCAACAAATGCTATCTAGTTTTTTGGGTGTCTTACCTATCCTCATATCTCCCTTGTGTGCTCTCGCTTTATCATGTGATCAAAGTCCAATCCCCTTGTTGTGTTTGCCCTAGATCTAATGTCCTCATATGAGGGAGAACATATGATTTTTTTGGTCTTTTGGGCCAGGCTAACCTCACTCAGAATGATGTTCTCCAGTTCCATCCATTTACCTGCGAATGGTAACATTTCATTCTTCTAATGGCTGCATAAAATTCCATTGTGTATAAATACCACATTTTCTTAATCCATTCGTCAGTGGTGGGGCATCTTGGCTGTTTCCATAACTTGGCTATTGTGAATAGTGCTGCAATAAACATGGGTGTGCAGGTGCCTTTGGAGTAACCTGTGTCACATTCTTTTGGGTATATCCCCAAGAGTGGTATTGCTGGATCATATGGTAGATCAATGTTTAGCTTTTTGAGTAGCCTCCAAATTTTTTTCCAGAGTGGTTGTACTAGTTTACATTCCCACCAACAGTGTAAGAGGGTTCCTTTTTCCCCGCATCCTCGCCAACACCTGTTGTTAGTGGTGTTGCTAATGATGGCTATTCTAACAGGGGTGAGGTGGAATCTTAGTGTGGTTTTAATTTGCACTTCCTTTATGGCTAGGGATGGTGAGCATTTTTTCATGTGTTTTTTGGCCATTTGAATTTCTTCTTTTGAGAAAGTTCTGTTTAGTTCACTTGCCCATTTCTTTATTGGTTCATTAATTTTGGGAGAATTTAGTTTTTTGAGTTCCCTATATATTCTTGTTATCAGTCCTTTGTCTGATGTGTAGCTGGCAAATATTTTCTCCCACTCTGTGGGTGGTCTCTTCATTTTTAGACCATTTCTTTTGTTGAGCAGAAGCTTTTTAGTTTTATGAGGTCCCATTTATCTATGCTTTCTCTTAGTTGCTGAGCTGCTGGGGTTCCATTGAGAAAGTTCTTGCCTATACCTATTAATTCCAAAGTATTTCCTACTCTTTCCTGTACCAACTTTAGAGTTTGGGGTCTGACATTAAGATCCTTGATCCATTTTGAGTTAATATTGGTATAGGGTGATAAACATGGATCTAGTTTCAGTTTTTTACGGACTGCTAACCAGTTTTCCCAGCAGTTTTTGTTGAAGAGGCTGTCTTTTCTGCATCGTATATTTTTAGTGCCTTTGTCAAAGACAAGTTGGTTATAGTTGTGTGGCTTCATATCCGGGTCCTCTATTCTGTTCCACTGGTCTTCATGTCTGTTTTTGTGTCAGTACCATGCGTTTTTATTGCTATTGCTTTGTAATATAGTTTGAAGTCGGGTATTGTGATACCTCCAGCGTTGTTCTTTTTACTGAGTATTGCCTTGGCTATTTGTGGCCTCTTGTGTTTCCATATAAATTTAACAGTAGATTTTTCAATCTCTTTGATGAATGTCATTGGGATTTTGATGGGAATTGCATTAAACATGTAGATTACTTTGGGGAGTATCGACATTTTTACTATGTTGATTCTACCAATCCATGAGCATGGGAGATCTCTCCACTTTCTATAGTCTTCCTCAATCTCTTGTTCAGAAGTTTATAGTTTTTCTTGTAGAGGTCTTTCACATCTTTTGTTAGGTTTACACCTAGGTATTTGATTTTTTTTGAGGCTATTTTAAATGGAATTGTTTTCATATATTCTTTCTCATGAACTAAAGATTTTAAAGAATTTACAAATAAACTACATAATTACTCTTGGTGATCTAAGATTACCTATGGAGAACAGGAGACTAGCAATAGACAGATGGAGCCCTGACATCTCCAAATACGGAGTAACTGGATTTTAAGTTATTGATAAGTTCCATGAATCTTGCATAAATGCATAGGAAAGATTATTAAACAGTTTGTAAGCCCTTAGCAAATAAAGGGAGTAGAAACAAACTCATCAAGACAAAGTTGTGTCAAAGTAATCTTACTTCCTCTTAACAATTCTTTGCAATGTTCTGAGGTTTTCTAATATCTTTATTTCATCACAAGAATTGAGTTCCAGTCATGTTTAAGACACTGGGGGCTTAAGTCCTGTCTGCCTGGCTAGGTGTTGACCTCAGAGATGAATGAGATAAATGGTTCTTGTTCTGTGTGATACACAGTAATAGAAACATCTAAGGGCTCACAACTGATAGAAGGAGGGCTATTATAGGTGGCAATATTAGGACACTGAAGCTTAGAGAGTAAGTGATTTGCAGTAGTCATCCAGCTTAGGAGACTCAAGCCAGTATATTTGAACCCAAGTTCTTGAACATTATACCATACATGTTTTCAGTCCATTTGATTAGATTTCTTAAGATAGTTTTGGAAACAAGTTAAAAGAATGAACTGGATGACAGAAGCATCAATGGAGTTTTAGGTAATTGAAAAACTAAATCTAGAGAATACTTGATATTGGAACAATGTCAACCTGAGCAGAGGTCTGTACTGGTATGCTACTTGTTTCTAATTGATTCAATTTGGATGGAGACATGGCAAACATTTAATATACTTTCAGAGAAACTTACAGCAGTGATAGCTAATTAATTGGCATGGTTCATTAATATTGAAAATATTCAGTCAAGATATAAAAACTAACAAGATTAAGTTTAAATAGGAATAAATTTCAAGTACTAGTCTAAATTAAAAGTAAACTGTATGAATATGAAATATGAGAACTATTTGAAGACTTGATGATGCTCCAAAAAAGCTGCCTCTACTCCAAAAAGACATAAATTGACTTCTGGAGATAATTACCTTTCTGTACTAAGATAGACCACCCTGGGAACAACTAGTAATGCAATCACTGGCAAGTCATCCTCCTGTGCCTCAGTTTCCTGTCCTAAGATGGGGGCAGTTACTGGGAAGGGTGGTGAGAGGGTTTAATGAGTAAAGAGTTAGAGCATGTGGGATAATGCCTCACGTGTATGTTTGTTAAATCAATATTGTGTCTGGTTCTGAGACCTTTACTTTAAGAAGGCCAGGGGGAAAAAAACGTGAACCAGCAAGATGTTGGAAGCTACCATTTGAACATTTAGCTTGAAGCAGAACAGGCTTTAGAGAAGAGGAGAGCATTTTCAAGAAGGTGAGATGTTCTAAGGGGGTACAGTTGAACCAAATACAGATGGTATAGGGAGCTATTTCTTGCTAAACAACAGCCGAAGCTGCGAGAAATAGGATGAGTCATTTCTGCAAAGTGGTGAGTTCTCAGATGGTGGAAAAAGTCAAGCAGAAATTGTAGGCCACTGCTCTGGCTGCTGTAATGGGGGGCCCTGAGTCTTTTCCAGCTCCTTCCAATCTTGTGTTAGAATGATCACAGAATGATGTAACTGTAATTTTTCCATTTTGTTTAATTTAAGAGAGAACCTTGCTCTAAAAGAATGCTTGCCCTGCCCTCTAAAGTAGGCTCTACAGGTTAGGGTTGGGGTGGATCTTTGACATGTATCAGTGAATAAATCAAATACCTGTAACAGTTCCTGGCACATATTAAGTACCCAAATATTCAAATGAAGAATGAATAAAAACTCATGAATTGGTTAAACTCTGTTACTGTGTTTTACCTGAAGATGAGCTGCTATTGTCAGTCACAGTTGGTTTGCTGGTATTTTGGCAAGTAACCAGTCACTCTGATAATTTTCCACAATTTAAAGAGACTCCAGTGTGGAATATTTTCAAGTACATCACAGAAAGGTCTGCAGTTAGTTGAGCTGCAGAAGTAGGTAGGGGGTTCTGTGTCTGTGCCACTCAGAAAGGAAGACGATGTGGTTTTGTGGCAAGTAAGGCAGATGAATAACCAGAGGACCCAAATCTAATTTTAGCCTGTCTGCTACACTGTGATGGTGTCAGCACACACTGTGTTCACTTTCAATTGCTTGATCTAGCTAAGCAATTGATCCTTGACACTTGTTAGGCAGCTGATCCAGGTTCACACTACACACAAATCCATCCTCCTTAACCTTCTCAACTAAAATCCTCAGCTAGCTAAGTCTTCACTTTATTCTAAAAAAGAAATCAGACGTGTTTGCTGTTCTATGCTTCTGTATTCAAGATCATCATTGCTTTCTTCACAGGGATGGTCTGGGAGCTGCAATGGATTAGAAATATCTAAAGGGTAGGGAGTTTGGCAAGAGAAGTGACAGCTAATTGTTACAATAATAAACAGTGAAATAAGTTGAGCACAACAGATCCTAGCACTGAAAGGGGAGGGATGACAGCAATAAGGGGTGGTAAATTACAAGATGTGACCATCTTCCCCCAATTATCACTGTGTAGGCGTTGGTCTTTTCTGATGTCTTTGAGTCTTCAGCTAGTGATAAAAATAAGAGTCTTGTGTTTTCCATTTTCGAAGGTGTTTAAGGAGCTCTGAGAACTATCTTACTGAAGGGGAGGAGACAGAAGAACCTATGTGCATGAGATACTGGGCTAGTCATTCAAATGCGTGATGCAGGGTGTTCAGTGTCTTGCTCACTATCATGGAGTCATAACAAACTAGCAATTCTGTTGACGTCTTTTTGGATCCTGTTACAGAATTCTATACTATTTTACTTTATGTATATGTACATGTTTATACAACTACAACCCCATAATCTTTTATATCTTTCCTGGTTGGGATATAGAGAAATTTTACAGCCTATAATCATATGTATCCAGAAAAGGAGTAGAACATATATGACACCTTGTAAATTAAGTCAGTACATTCAATAAAGCGTAACTAGTCATATTTTTTCCCTTTATTTTCAAAAGGCTCACTTTTCTCCATTTCTCTACTACCAAAGTCAAGAACTGCCTAATGGTTCTGTCAAGGAAGCTCCAGCTACTACTTGTGTTCCTCTGGAGCCCTCAAGTCCAGCTACTACAGAAGAAGTAGACCATAAGCCTAAACTCTGCAGGCTGGTTAAAGGTGAAAGTGGCTACGGCTTTCACTTGAATGCAATTCGGGATCTGCTAGGCTCATTTGTCAAAGAGGTATGGACATCTGTTCCAGCAGAACGAGGACAGTCTCAGCTCCCCTCACCCATTGATGGTAGTAAAAAGGTTATAATGAAGGCCTACATCTCACTTGGGTTCAGACACTGTCATGGTCTCATACCTTTTAAAACAGTATATCATAAGCCCACCTCTTACTTCCCAGACATCTGTTTAACCTAATTGTCTCTCTAAACACTTTCAAGTTAAACACAGTGACATGACTCTAGTTGATAGTCACTATCAGCCCTGTTTGGTTCTTGCATTGGCATAATGCCCCAATCTTGTGAGACCACTCCTGTGGCTCTCAAGTTGGGAGTCTAGAAGGAGACCTATGAGATCTAATGAATTCAGCACAGAAGACATATAATATAATATTCAACCAGTTTGTAACACCACTCATTTGAGTATGGAAGTTGTAGCTTTCATAAGTACAGAAACATTAAAGAACCCTTCTTAACTTCTGTGCCTCAATGAGAAATAATAGCATGCATAAGAATAAATTCTCCCCACCCTCTTTGAAGGGAGCTAGTTTGAAATCCTATACCTATGTCTGGAACTGACACCTCAGAACCTCTGTTCAAAGGTACAGAAGGGAGGCCCTGCTGATGAGGCAGGACTACAGGATGAGGATATCATCATTGAAGTGAATGGAGAGAATGTGCTGGATGAATCCTATGAGAAGGTGGTGGACAGAATCCAGAGCAGTGGGAACAATGTCACACTCTTGGTCTGTGGAAAGGAGGCCTATGACTACTTCCAAACTAAGAAAATCCCCATTACTTCCTCCATGGCTGACCCACTGGATGCCTGCCCTGATTCCAAAGAAGAAACATTGGCAGAGCATGACTTGCATATGACAAAAGAACGAGTGAGTGGCAATCCATCTTTTTTGTGATCTGTTACCAGAGTACAGTGCAGTCCCTGATGAGCATACCTCATGTCTGTGTTCACCACAGACTTTCTAAAATATTAGGAAATGGTAGTGTGAAGATAATAAACACATCAAGGAGGAAAGGAGTCAGTATAAGGACAAGTTTCTTGTTCTCACAGCATGCAGTTTTTTAGTCAGTAGATCAAGCAATAAATTTATCAAAATTATAATGGAGACCACCAGAAGAACCTGAATCAGACTATCTAGGTCCAAATTCTGGTTTTGTCTCTTACAAGCTTGGATAAATGGGTTTATTTGCTCCATGCTTCTGATTCCCCACCTACAAAAATAGAATAATTTGTAGGATTGTTATCAGAATTATGTTAACTAAGACTAGTATGATGCTTTGAACAGTATCTGGCTCACAGTGAAGTTGAGATGGCTAGGGAGCGTATTAAAAGTTGGCAGGTGTTACAGCTTTGTTATTAGGAAAGAAAAAACATTATTCTGTGTACATTTGGATTAGATACGTTTCTTAGTAAATCTGTGGTACTGAAGTATGAACTCAGGGCCTCAAGCTTCAAGTGCTCTACCACTTAATCCATGCTTTCAGCCCTTTTTGCTCTAGTTATTTTTCTAACAGGGTCTCTTATTTTTGCCAGAGCAAGCCTGGACTGTGATACTCCTACACACACCTCCCACATAGCTGGGCACATCATGCCCACCTTAATGACTGAGGTGGGGTCTTGCAAACTTTTTACCTGAGCGGGCCTCAAACTGCAATTCTCTTGTTCTCTGCCTCCTGAGTAGCTGGGATTATAGGCATAGGCCATTTCACATTGCCTGTCAAATTGTTTATACATGAACTCAAGGTCCAAAAGTGAATTGACTTGTCCAAGTTCATAAACAAAATTTATGCCAATATCAGGACTCTAAAAGTTTCAGTATACTTTTTCTTTTCATTATATTAATTCTACTGGTTGGTGATAAGTAACGAATACTCAATTTACTGAACACATAAAATAGCCACTGACCTTGTATTCTGGAAAGCTTAACAGAAAGTGTTCTAGTTATCTTCTAAAAATTCTACAAATTCTCTACTGGAGGTCAATTATAGTACTATACTAGTCTTCTAGAAAAGACATAGAAATTTGTCAATGTGTCAAATAGGAATCTGAAAGCAAAGTAGAATTCAGATCACCTGTCTTCTAGTGAGTCACTCCCCTCTCCAATTTAAGTCATCCAACTCTAGAATGGCCTATCACTCTCCTGATGTTCACCCTCTGCCACTTGTAAATCCTTTGTTTTCTTTTGCACAGGCCCACAGTTCAGCCTCACATTCTTCTTCCAATTCTGAAGATACACAGATGTGATAAGAAGGAATATAGCTCGGGCTGATAGAATTCCTATTAAATACTCAGAAACTGCTTTCTCAAGGATTGAACTACCACCGATTTACTGTCCTGTATCTGTTAGAGAAGAACTCCTCCGGAAACTGCTCATCACATGTGCTGCCATTTGTCCTAGGAGTGCTATAACTTTGGAAGATTGAAGGCAGGAGCCATCTTCTAAGCTTCAACTTTATATTTGTTTAATGATACCAAAGGTGATTCATATCTGAATATGTGATAGCTTCTAACTGAAGTATTTACGCAGATAATCCTATTAAAATTATGCTTTTGTAAGTGTTATGGCTGCTATAATAAACAGCATTAAAATGCTTTTCGAGTTGCTTGAAACTTCCCTGTTAGCTGGTACAACCTGAATAGTGCTTTGGATAATTTTATGCTTTTATCTTAATTTGCTTCTAGAAATCCAAAACATAATAAAATGTAGAATATGACCTTAGCAATAAAAGGAGACTCCCGGCAATAAAATTTTGAATTTTCTTAAGTTGTATTTGAGTATTCCAAAAATTTTTCCAACACTTTCCTTTTACAGATGAAGAACTTGAATCCCAGAACAGGAGAGTGACTTATTTCAGTTATTCATTGTTTTATCTCACAACACGAGGGGCACATGGAAAGAAAATATGAGAGCTAGCATTAACTACAGGGTATTGACACATAATACTAATTTAAAAGGAAATCATGAAAAAGGGTATAAATGTGGTCTCTTTTGGCAGAGACCACATTTCAGTTGTCTACCATCCCTTTCCCAGAAAAGAACAGATAATCTCTTGGTTATTTTAGTGGGGCAAGGGTTGGGCGAAAGGGAGGGATGCTAACTCATGTTAGGTCACACAATCATAATACCAAGCCATACTTGATAACATGAACCTAAGGCCAAAGTGTTGTAACCTCTGATTTTAATGAGTCAATCTACAGGGAAAGCCACAACCTTCTCCATATGAGCCTTGACTTAGTTATGTGTTGGGCTACCATAGACATCTTTTGCCTCAGAGATTCAGTGCATTTTCATCCCCCTTCCCTCTCACTGTCTTTCCCACTTTGCACCAGCCTCAAATCCATGCAGGACACCTGCTGTATACAGTACTGCTTTAAGTTACTTCTCCCTCTCAGGTTCTAGCTGATGCTACTTACGATCACATTATCTTCTGAGGAGGAAGATATGCTAGAGGTAGACTATGCTACCACAGCATTTTGTTTGTTTAAAAAATATTAGGACTTGATCCTCTCCATTGTTTTTCTTCCTATTTCCAAATTCTGACACCATTATTAGTTTTTAACAGTCTACAATGGGGATGAGTTCAAGGTGCCATATGCTTCTCTGGTGCCTGTTTGTGAGCCAAATAAAGGAACAGGATGCTGGAGAGGGCACTGACCAGGAAGATCACATCAAACCAACGGTGATAGAAGTTGAACTGTAGTTCTCCAAGGACTTCTGTGATTATGGTGCGGTATTCTAGAGGCATGCTCATTCGAATGAGTAGCACCGAGGAGACAAAGTACATACCCTGTAAGCAAAGCAATTAATTCCAAGATACTTTGAATGTAGTGAGAGGCAGGTCAGAAGAATCTACTAAAATATTTAAAACACATTTCTGGTATTTTACAGTTGCAAACATAAGGCTAGTTTATTAAACTTACCATTATCTGTGCTAATAGCAGGACAATGACATTGGAGGATTTACTGCTGGAGATGGCATAAAAGAACTGTTAAGAAAGAGAGGAGAGATGAACTTAAGGCAGGATTGCTAGATTCCTAGTAGTAGGAATCTAAGAGCTTATGACAATAAGTTACATGGTTAACCTTTAACTGAAAGTGTCTTTTCCATGTTACCATCCTGTACAGAATAGTTCAGATGTTAAGGCTATAAAGAAGAAACTGAAAATAGACTACTGAAAAAGTTAGTTTCCTCCATGAGGTGGTTGGTGGTTTTAAGTATTATAAGAAGGATTCTTGTGCTATTAAACTTCAGAAGCCCTGTGACACATATGGCCTTAACATAGCTACATAACATTAGAACAGATAACTCTAGGCCACCCCAAACATTTGCAACTGTTACTAGGCTCCTGAGCTCTTTCCAAACTTGTGCTATATGGCTGCAGATCCTTTCCTGTCCCAACCTCTTCTCTTTTTTCATTCAGTGTTTAGATCTTGAAATTCCTGCCACTTCTACCAACGAAGACTTCCTTTCCATTTCCATTAAGTCAGTCCCCTCATGTTGATCAGAAAACACCTGAATGTTCTCTCCCCAACTTCCACATCTTCTTTACAAATGATTCCCACAATTATTCTTCCAACCTCAAATATCTGTCTCACTTATTTATTTCGGCTATCACATGTGCCAAGTTTTATATGGATGATGGTGACACATTAGTGAACAAAACAGACCCTTCTCTATTACCTCTGGAGTTCACTTGTGATTGGTGTACAATATACATTTTCATAAATTACATAGCAGTTTAAAAGTTTTTTATGTATCATCAAAGTACTGTGACTGTTGCATAAGAGCTCAGAAGTCAGAAATGTTAAATAGCTAACATTATTTTGAGGCAGGCTAAGATAAGTTCAGGACTCTTAAGACATATATGACTAAATATTTCAGATTGAACATTCTTCCTTCTCTGAGCCTTCTTTTCAATTACAAATATGTACTGATTGTTCACACCATGGTCTGGGAAAACTCAAACTACCACCCTTTCAGCCCAGGGATCACCCATGCCCCTCCCCAGTCATTTATTATTGGTGATCAAAAATCACCCAGGTTTTTCCCCTCCCACAGGTTAGTGCAAACTTTAAAAACACTTGGAAAGAGGAAGACCCTCTCTCTGCTTCTACCTCATACCTGGCCCATCATGGCTGTTTGTAACTTTCCCCCTAACTTTTAATAAACCTTTACATACTCACTATGTTTACATATCCTGCCTGGATGTATCCATGTGTGATATAAGAATCTGGATTTTTTGTTTACAAGTGACTACACCAATTTCATGGAGCCACATGTAATTAAAGAAGTACTTTCTAACATTCTGATACAACATACCTTGGTAAGAGTAATCAGCAATCCTCTGATGGATGTGACAATGATTATTCCAACTAGAATGAAGGAAATGTGTTGGGACCAGAACTTCACCTACCGTAACAGGGAAAAAAATGTCAAATCCCTGTTCAGAGAGGTATGCAGGCTAAGATACGTTCTGTTCACTTATGTGACTGTGAGAGATGGAACTTCATCAGGCCCTTTCTGATTTTTTTTTTTTTAAGGGAGGGAAGAAAACAAGTAAATGATAAATAAAACACCTATAAGGAGATTGCAGTGGATATCTTAATTAGTAGACTGAATCAAACCCTCAGTACAGAAAAAAGTGAGCACAGTGAAGTGATAAAAAGAACACTAATAAATCAGAAAAAACACAGAGCTTTAATAAATACAGAGAAGAAGCTGAAAGGAAATGAACTCAATAGTAGCTTATTTTTAGTATTTATGAATGAGAGTTCTTAGATCACACAAAACTTTAAGAAATCTTTTTATAATAAAAGACTACATAGGTATTCTTAGCTAAGTTTTAGGAAACAGTCAAACTTAAGTAGAATCACATGATGATACTTATTGTTTGATAGTGAGAAGCAGTTTTGGGACCCTCTGCTCGATTCAGTTCTGAAAAGCATCTGATGGAGAGCTGATATCACTGACTTCCAAATGGCTTGTTATTAGACTTGTGAAAAATGGAGGGTACAGTTGAATTATAGATGGAACATATACACAGCAAGTAGCCACAGGAAGCACTGATAAGGAAGAGCATTTCTAAAAATTCAGCCCATTTAAAAATACAAATGAGGAAATCACATATGCAGCAAGCGCACAGGACACAAATTTCTGTGCTATGTGAAGAAAACATCATGTTCTTTCAGATGCAAAAAGGAGACATCTATCATCAGAAAATGTGTACTGTAGCAGGGTGTGGTGAAGCATGCCTGGAAGGATAAGGCAGGAGGACCTACAGGTAGAAGCCAGCCTGGGCTGCAGAGCAAGATCTTGTCTTTAAAAAATGTGTACTTTGAGCCGTTTTTGAAGGACTGGACTACAGCTCAATTTGCTCTGGTTAATTCTCATTTTATCTAGCTACCCTGAGACAAGGGACATGTCCTGCTGAGGATGAAGACTGTGGTAGCATGTATACTGTGTCTAGGATCAGAGCACAGCCTAATGGCCCCCACAAGGACTAAGAATATGACATTAGTCCTATTATGGAAGACTTCACTAGCCTGAATTATTGGACATACATATATCTGGAAAATATACTATTTTATGAATAAAGACACTGAACTTGGCACAAATGTGTTTATGACCACAGTTTTAAGATGGTTTAAAAAAAACACTGACTTTGTGCACAGATGACAGTTACCATGTTAATTTATTGCTAAAGATAATTTCTTGAGAGCTTGTTTGGAGGTTCTAGCAGGGGAACGCAGCTACTCATATACCCTTGACCGAAGAACGGTCCTCCTCTATCGGGGATGGTCGTCCTCTTCGACCAAGCACGCAGCTTCGGGAGGGACGCACATGGAGCGGTGAGGGAGGAAGGGGACACCCACCTAGCCAGCCAGATCAGCCGAATCAACCCTGGCGATCAATGGGGTGACAGATGTCGCAGCCAGATCGCCCTCACATCCTAAAGATAATTTCTTAACAGCAAAATTCATTTCAGATCTAACACAAGAACACTAGGTGGTAGTTAATTTTCTACCAGAGGAATCAAAGGTGAGTTGTATGTTTGAGGAGCTTAAGATTCACAAACAGATCTGAATACTTGGGGAGAAGCTGGAAGATGGTCGCTGGCTACAGACAGGCAGAGGAGGAAGTTGCAGTTTTATGTTAAGAAAGAGTAGCCTGGCCTTTTACAGATATGATATGTGAACTATCAACATATAGAGGGCAGTGGAAAGCATGTACCTAAAGTTCAGGAATTAGAATACTAATAAAGTTAAGTTAAAACAGATAGAGCAGAAAGAAATACAACAAACCAGGACCTTAATATAAAACTTACATCAAATTGGATTCCAAGGTAATTCACAGTGATCTCAATGCCTCTTGTGACAGGATCTGTTTTTCCAACTCGATCAAAAACAATATTGATGGTTGCCTGCAGAGATATAGACCTCCACATTAGAGCACCTTAATAATCATTATTTCAAAATCATTAAAAATGATGAATTAATAATCATAACCTATCTTACTGGTCAATGTCTCTAAAAGAGCAATTCTACTTTCAATCTAAGCCATGAACAGGAAATCCATTTTGGCTATTCACACAGAGAAATGAAAGTCTGTAACTATTCCATCTTTGTTTTCTGTAAAGAGCTGAGAGGAATAAAGCTATAGCATATACACTATAATTTATTAGAAGCTGGAAAGCTAACTGGTGGATGAAGTCAGAGAAAGAGAATAAAAAAATTGTAGGGCCATTCCCTGTAGTGACTCTGTGAATACTCTAAGAGCAAAGATAAAACAACACAAAAGGAATTATAGCTAATAAAATAACAAATGAGATCAAATGGAATTAAAGATACTCAGTTAATCCTATAGGTGACGGTTTAAAAGAGGGAAAAAAATGGGACAATAAAAAACATGGTAGTTTTAAATCTAACAATATTGATAGTCACATTGAACATAAATAGTATAAATCATGGGTCAGCAAACTCAGCCACTGTAGTGTGACAGTAGTCACAAACAATACATAAATGAACAGGCTTGGCTTATTTACAAAAGCAAGCAGTGGTTGGGTTTTGCCTGTGGGCTACAGATTGCTAATCCTGGTCTAAACATGCCAGTGAAATGGCAGACTGTTGGACCCGATAAAAAAAAAAAGCAAGACCCAAATGCTGTATATGTTGCCTACAAGAAACCCACTTTAAATATGAAGATACAAATAGGTTAAAAGTAAAAGGATGACAAAGATATATTATGCTAACACTAAGCAAAAAAAGTAGAGTATTTATATTAACATCAGATAAATATTTTATAACAAAAATATTGCCAGGTATTCAAAGGGTCATTAATGATTCTAAATGTTTATATACCCAGTAACAAAGCTTCAAAATACATGAAGTGTATTTTGATGGTAATAAAAAATGAAGTGAAAACTGATGGTAATAAAAAAGCCAAATCTCAAATAGTTGGATCTGTTTTCTCAACTGATAAAATAAGTAGTCAGAGAATCTTTAGGAATACAGAAAACTTTGATAATACTATCAATCAACCTAAGTAATTCACATTACAGAATATTCTAGACAATAAGAATACACATTCTACTTAAATGCACATAGAACATTTACCATGCTATACTCAACTGACTATATTCTGGACAGAACACAAGTCTTAAAAGATTCAAATCATGTAAAATATGTTCTTAGACTACAATGAATTAAATTAGAAATTTATTGGAGAATGATTATTTGGAAGATCACCAGATATTTTATAACATACTATGAAATAACATATGAGTCAGAGAAGAACTCAAAAGGGAAATTAGAATTTTGAAGTTAATGAAAATCAAAATACAGTATAATTAGTGAAATGCCGTTTAAAAGTACATAATGAGAACTTTATAGCAATAAAACATCTTTATCAGAAGAGATCTCTAACCAATGATTTTTAGCTTTGTCTTAAGAAAAAGACAATCCAAAATAAGCAGGAGGAAATAGCACAGTGAGCACAAATCAATGAAATAGGGAGCAGAAAAATAATATAAAAAAATCAACTAACTTAAAAGCTGGTTCTCTGAAAAGTTCAATAAAACCAATAAACCTTTCTACTAGCTTGATGAGAACTAAATGAGGGAAGACACAAGTTACCAATATCATGAATGAGAAAGCTACTACTTCACACTCACTAGGATGGCTATAATAAAAAAGACAAACAGCAACAAGTATAGGTGAGGATGTATGTGTATAAGCTGGAGCACTTATACATTGTTGGCAGAATGTGGAAAGACTCTGGCAGATCTAGCATATGACACAGCAATTCTACTCTTAGGCATAAATATAAGAGAAAGGACTACTGATAATAGCTCCAAACTAGGACAGCCCAAATGTTTATCAAGTAATAAGTGGATAAACAAAATGTAGTTTTGTTCATATAATGGGTGAATGCTATTTGGCTATAAAAAAGGAATGATGATGCTACAGCATGAATATGTATTGAAAAACTATGCGAAGTCAAAGAAGTCAATCACAATGACCACAAATTGTATGATATCATTTATAGGAAAGCCTAAAGATGGAAAGAAGGTTAGTGGTTGACTAAGGCTCAGGGAGAAATGATGGGTAACTATCTGCTAATGGAATTTCTTTTTAGCTTAATAAAAATGTTCAAAAACTGTGGTGATGGTTGTACAACTCTGTAAATATCTAAAGAACCACTAAATAGTACTAAGTGAGTAAATTGTACTGTATGTGAATTATATCTCTATAAAGATGTTGGAAAAAGGGATGAATGAAGAGAGTCAGGCAACATAGGAGAGACTATATTCTGAAGGCAGAAAGTGAGGAAAAGCATTAGGGATCACTAAAGAAGTAGCAGGATGGCAGAAACCTTAGAGAAATTGAGGCAGCAGAGAAAAGCAGCAAACAGTTCCAAGCCAGCTTTCTGAGAAGGGAATAGGAAGCTGAAGATGACATCATAAGGTAAACCAGACAGCCTTGGTGATAGACTGGCAATTCTAGCTATAATCTCGTATATCCTGCAAGCTCTAAACCCAGTGTGGGGATTTGTGAGACAGTGACTGCTCTGGTATGGAAGACTAGCCTCAGTGTAGAATGACATTCTGTAAGGAGGGTTATAGCAAACACCATCTTGAGGGCAGGCCTATTGTTTGACACTGAGATACTCTGAGGGCTAGAAAACAAGGAACACTCATGGGTCTTGAGACACTCTGCCAGGGTCTGGATGGAAGATGACCATAAAAGGTGGTAGAGGAGAGGGAGAGGGTCTGCCACTATGGTTGGAGGCCTTGCCCTTCCTGGCCATGAGTGAGTCCCATTGCCTGAGGCTCCAGTGGAACCACAGTACTGAGCCAGTGGCTGGCTTAGTATTCAGCCTCCAGGGCCTGCCTCCTGGCTGCACGTACTGACTGCATGGTTAACAGCCCTGCACCAAGATCCTCTAAGTCATGTGATATCCACAGCCTAGGTGAATTGTTGGGCATGGCCTGAAAGCACTGAGACCCACCCCAGGAAGTACATCCTGGTGTGCGTTTGCTGATAATCTAGGACTGAAGGTACAGAGTTCAGATCATTTGATCACAAAATTTCCATAGCCTCCTCCTCTCTACAGGGAGGTGAACTGCTAGACAGGGTCTATAAACACTGAGACCAGCAGGTACATTGACTTAAGACCCGAAGTTCTCCCTCAGCTGCAGAACTCAGTGCTCTGTCTGCTCCCCAAACTCTTAGACACATTCAGGGGTCATCCCAAGGCTTGGAGGCTTATTGCGTCTGGGGACACAAATGGGGTGTGTGTGTGTGGAGCAAATGGAAACCTGTCCAACCACAGGCTGTGAAGCTCCCTACAGCAGCCAGCAGCAGTTCCCAGTACATAAAGAAGGGAAGCTGCTGAAGTGAAAGCAGTCCAGAAGAAGACTCCAGCTAGTTTACCTTGATCTCGTAGAGATCAGGCCCCATACCCTGAGCATGTGGGTAAATGCTAGTGTAAGAAAAATGATCTTTACTATCAAAATATTTGTTACCTTCTTAGATTATTTAAAAATTCCTCAGGTCACCATCTTAGGTGACTTGCATGTTTAAAAGGTCCTTGCTTCTTCTTCCGGATTCCTGTACGACTTTTTTGCCCACCAACTGTATGCCCTAACCCATCCCCCAAGCCTTTTAGCCAATCGAGGGAGATTGTGAACCTTTGACCTGGACAAATTCTAGGTGAGGGACAGGTACAACTGTGTCAGGGATATATAAGGAGGAGCCATGGTCAGCCATTTTGTGCTTACATGTTTGCTTAGTGGGAGTGAGCACATGCTTGCACCCTCTTGATCAACAGAAATTGCCTTGTCAAGATTTTGTCTCTTGTGTGTCTGTTTTTGGCACTGGATGGTTATTAATTCCAACACCAGGCTACTGAGCTATACCCCTAGTCCAGTGGCAAGAAACAGCACCTCAATCCACTCACTACACTGTCTTGCCTGAACACTGAGAATATTTCAACCGAAAAATTACAGATGATCAAAACTTCCAACCAATGAATTGGCCTCAGATATGCAAATCTCAGTGTAGAAACACCAGTAAAAAGAAAAAAAATCAAGGAGCTCAAACCCTAATCCCACCAAAAAAAAAAAAAGTAAGAAAAAAAATCAAGGCAATATGTCTCCTCTAAAAGTCAACAATTTCACAATAAAGAACTTGAAGGATAGTGAAGCAGACAAAATGTTCAACAATGAACTTCAAAGAAAAATGGCAAGAATGATCAATGAAATTTAAGAGGCAATATATATGAATGAATTCAAACAGAACAGAAATAAACAGCTGAAAATGAACTCAAAGAGAATTCAAATAAACAGCTGAATGAAATAAGGAAGAAAATGCAGGATATAAAGGAGGAATTCAATAAAAATATAGAAATCCTGAAAAAAATCAAACTTAAATTCTGGAAATGAAAAGCTCAATAGCCCAAATAAAAAAACTCAGTTTAAAAGCTTGCTAATAGAATGGAACAAATTTAAAATAGAGCATTGGGGATTGAAGATAAAGTAGAGAAATTAGATTAATCAGAGAAAGACAAAGAAAAACACTCAGAAGATATGATGGGACATGCAAGATTTCTGGGACACCATCTAAAGACCAAACCAGTGAATTAGGATGGGTATAGAAGGAGAAGAGGTACAAGCTAAAGGCATACAAAACATTAAAAAAAAAAATAGCAGAAATCTTCACTAATCTTGAGAAAGAGAAAGAGAGAGATACAGATATAGGAGTCTATCAGAACATCAAACAGGCAAAGTAATAAAAGAAACACCCTTAAATATATTATAGTTAAAACACTAAACACACAGAACAAAGAAAGAATAATGCAAGCTGCAAGAAAGAAGTGACAAGTCACATATAAAGGCAAACCAATCAGAATAACAACAGATTT